TGGTTGAATTAAACACGCATAAGCCATGCCTGCCTGTCCAGTGGAAAAGCACAGGAAGAGGTCTGTCTTGGAGGACCCGTTTTACATTAGTTTGATGGAAGATGATACGCTACCACTTCCCTAATGCCTACTCTACAAATACGACTCCCCTGTAACTTGTCACAGCCGTTTTTCTTATATTTAATACAATTTCGTAGTGATTATCACAGGCCATGGAGCACTAGTTTTACCAGTTAACTGAATGAACGTATTTGAAAACATCTTTTAAAATAAAAACTTTTGCCATGTAAAGGTACATGATCCCAACAATGAATGTAACTGTACTGTATCCCTAAATGTACCAATAAACTCAATTAAAAAAAAAAAAAATCAAGTCACAAGGTCTAGCCCACACTCAAAGGGAAGGAATTATTCACATGAGTATATGGATAGCAGGAGCAGGAATCACCTTAGAAAACCAATTAACAAAAAAGGGGGGCCCGGGATTTGGCTCAGTGCCTGCCTTGCAAGTGCAAGGGCCCGAGTTCAACCCCCAGTACCAAAGCAGGGGGAGGGATTTAGCTTAGTGGTTCTGCTGCCTGCCTCACAAACACAAGGACTTAAGTTCAATCCCTGGTACACAAAGAAAGAAGAAAAGAAAGAAAGGGAGAGAGAGGAAGGAAGGAAGGAAGGAAGGAAGGAAGGAAGGAAGGAAGGAAGGAAGAAAAAAAAAACCAATTATCTGAAGACCAAGTAGAGAAGCAAGGAGAAGTTTTAAGACAGTAAAGATAATATAAGTATAGCAAATGGAAGTAGTTCAGGATTGAAATTTGCAACTAATTCAAATAAGTGTTGTGGTACCTCAGTTTGCGAACGCTTTGAACATTTTTATTGGTGAACCTCTTGGTTCACAAACAGAAGCATTTGGAAAAATTGTGTTTTTGTTTGAGAACTCAGCATTGGGTGATTGCATTGCCTGCAGGAACACGAACATGGCCAGAATAGTGGAACGAATTAAGTTTGTGAAGCAAGGTACCACTGTATAAAGTGGTGGAAGGTGGATGTGTCTGCTATCCTTGTATCATTTTTAATCCATAGTGTCTTCTTCTCATTGCTAGCCCTTAAATGAAGCTGGAGCTAAGGTGATGGTGGGTGTGGGTGTGGCTGTGAGGCTCAAAAGTATTCACAGCACTACTAGCACATTGCACAACTGCTTTCCCCATTGGGAAAGCACATGGAAAACAAAGGTATTGGAGTGGAGGGGAGAGGAGAAGCAAAGAGAAACTGAAGGTAACTTCTCTGGATGTATACGACCGAGGCTTCTTCTAGGAAGGAGACTTCTGGCAGGGATCTGACAAAGCTTCAAATTAAAAAAAAGACAAGGTAGGGGGAGGAATCAGGGCATGAACCAGAGCTGGCATGAGGTATCTGCAAAAAGAAGTCAGCAAATTCCAGACAGAGAAAAGAAGTCTGGTTCTGAAAAGATTTTTAAACCGAATGCTACATAGAGCAAAGATGTGAGAGAATGGAGAAAACAAGTAAAAATTCTATAGTAACATCTACTAAAATAAACTTCACTTAATATGTCTTAGAAGAGATTTCCGGAGTCTTCAGAGCATTTCATATGCTAATGTGATATGAGAAACTCCAAAATTTGTGTGGGAGGGAAGCAATAAGCAGCATTTCTGATAAACTATTTATTTGTTTTGCATGGAGGCAGTAACATAGGACACTCCTTAGGAAATACTCTTATCTCCAATTCTGAGGGAGTCATTTGAGAGCAAGTTTGAATATTTGTGGCGAGCCAGGAATTGTGGCCAGTGCTTGAACAACGAGCAAAAAATATGCAACAAACTTGTAAGCATTAGCAGTAGTGACTATGGGTCCCAAAGGGAAAAGATGTCAAAACTAGAAGCTGCCAAAGTATCCTCCTTTACAGCCATCTCTAGGAATTCCTCCAGATTCCCAAGGCTCTGTCTCCTACTGTCCTCAAAAGCACTCTCCTCCTGTAAAACTCTTCTTAATAACAGAAAAAGACCCAAGGCATTCACACCCTGAAGTTTTCCCTAGTGTTTTTTTTTTTCGGGATGGAAATGTGTTGTTGCGGGGCAGGGTTGAGGTAGGGGAGAAAAGATGCTAGAGACTATAAGAAATACCTTTCAGTGTGCAGTGAGAAAAAGAAATTGGGAGAGGAGTCGAGGCCATATGTTAAAGAAGTTAGTTCCTCAAGGAATGCTAATTTTTCTAGCTTGTAGTGAGGAATTACCCTTGGAGGGTATGTGGTTAAGAGACCAAAGAGACCTCTGAGTCAAGAGGTGAGAGTCCTTTCCTCAACACACCTGTGAGCTACTGTGGTCTCACCCACCGGCCAAAAGTGCCTCAGGTTACATGTGGCCACCCCTTCCTATAGTACACAGTGTGATGTTTTGAGATTCACCCTCCCAGGACATCACAGTAACTTTCAGTGGTTAATGAGTAGCTTCTCAGTTCCTGCTTCGTTTAATTGTCCAAAGGCCAGCTGGGCCCAGAGAATATAAAGCTGCAAGCCAGCTAATGAGTGGATTCTCCCTGAGCCAGCCCGGAAGTAGAGGAGTGGCAAGGTCAAGCTGCTGAGATCCCGAGGAGCAGGGATGCAGAACAGAACTGGTCTAGTTCTCTGTGCTCTGACCCTCCCGATCGGTTTCCTGATGATCTGTCTGGGAGCCTTCTTCATTTCCTCTGACTCCATATTCCACTGTCAGAAGAACCTGGTCCTGGCATACTTGCTTCTGCCTCTGGGGTTTGTGATGCTTCTGGGTGGGATTTTCTGGAGCAACTACCAGCAAGCGAGCAAAAGCAAAGGGGTGTTCAGCCATCTGCTCAGACAGCACCTTGCTCACAGGGACCTGCCCCTGGCCACAGTGGACAGGTAGGTGCGAAGAGACAGAGGGGGTGACAAGGGCTGAGACGGCCTGAGGTGTGGGAAGCTGAGTGATTTCTAATCCTATGGTGGAGATAAAATGGAAGGTCTATTGCTGGGCAGTGACTCTGGAGCTTATCCTTAGGGAAGAATGCAGCGCTGTCTTGGAGGGAAATCCTTGAAGAAAGGGAATTTTCTTAAAGAAACACCACCACTCTCACTGCCACTCTTGGTGAACAACTTCTAAAGCCAGCTCAAGCTGCCCAAGTTCTAGCTTCTTGTGTTATATCCCCGAGGCAGTCAGATGCAGGTGATGATTAATTGTCCCCTCTAATCTGATTACCAAATTATAAGGCAAATAAATCCCAGGCCAAATTCTGCCACAGAACCTAGGAGTATGCAGACACAAAACCAGTCCTGCAACCTGTAGGACTCTGGAAAGTCCCAGCTACTCTACTCTTACATGTTCTGGTCTTACCTTGTCTGAAAGACTCATTCAGGGCAAGATAATCATATTCTAAAGGTAAAGATTCAGTTGACCGTACCTGTTAGAGCAGCTACTATCAAAATAAAACAAGTGTTGGCAAGGATGGAAAGGCACTGGCACCATTAAGTATGTTTGGTAGTAATTTAAGATGATGCTGCAGGTGTAAGGACCCTTGGAATATTAAACACAGAATTACATTTTATCCAGCAATTCTATTCCAGGTTTATACACAAAATAATTGAAAGCAGGACCTGAAACAGATGCTTACACAACAATGTTCGTAACAGCATAAACAAGAGCCAAAAGGTGGAAACAGCCCAAAGGTTGATCAACAATGAATGGACAAACAAAATGTGGTACATCCACGTACCCTGGAGTATTACCCAGCCATCAAAGGAAATGAAATCCTGTTGCATGCTACAACATGGATGCACCTTGAAAGAATTATGCTTAGTGAAATTAGCCAGTCACAGCGGACAAATATTGTATGATTCTGCTTATTCCAAGTACCAGGAGCAGTCAAAGTCACCGAGAAAGTAGGACAGCAGTTCCCAGACCAGTGGGGAAGGGGGAATGGAAAGTTATTGTCTAAGGGTTATGTTTCAGTTTAGGATGGCGGAGACATTTCAGACGGCTGGACAACCATTTGAACATACTTAATGTGACTCACTGTAAATAGTATATTTAAAATAGTATATTTTATTATATATCGAAGATATGTGTCAGTTGCTCCACCATAGAATATTTCCACAAGAAAGAAAATGATTGAATTAACCTCATCGGTTAGCTGACCATAAACCTTCTAATTCTTGGCTGAACACAGGAGCACTGAAATAAAACTCTCAGGATCAAACTTGAGGTACAGCCCAGGAGAGTCCTCCTCAGGCAGGGGTAGGAGCATCTAAAATGTTTTCTGCTATTCACTTTATCTTGGATCCAAATAACCTTACCCATGACGGCACACTTTTGAAAGCCATTATACGAAATAATGTGATAGGAATTACAACAACCCAAACCCATTTGCCATGTTTATTAGAGAAACCAGCAAAGTCTCTGGGTCTGATGAAAAAGATAGATGAAGTGATTAAAGAAGATGCATCTAGAGTATTGATTTCTACTTCTGAGTAACTGTTAGATGATAAGAATAACCAAGTGCCTTTAGGACGTTGCTTCAATTTATGAACACATGCAAAATATGAAAGTGAATCATGGATAACAGGACACCCATTGTATTGCCTCTACTGCTGCATTCTGAGATTTGCAGCCCCTCAGAATAGCTAACAAGTCAAATTGGAAAGTTGCATTCTTCAGAAGTTTTGCACCCAAATAGGGAGCCAGGTAGAGAAGCCAAAGCAGAAGATTCTCCCAAGATGGAACGCAGGTGCCTGCGAGCAGGAATTGCAGTAGGTGGCACAGAAGATGGAATTGAGAGAGGTGGATGATTCTTGGGGCTGGTGGCAGTCATCCTGGAGCCTCTCAAATTGCTCCAGGGAACAGCTCACCTTCCTGTCCCCAAAGCCTTTGCACACATCCCATGCCTCAGCCTTGGCTGGTCTGAGTGAAGCCTGAGATTTATGCTGTACAGTAGACAGCTCCTCCAGCTATCTGGCTCTGGGCCTGGTGACATTTGGAAAGGAGCTGTGACCACAAATGGCAGTCCCTGTCATGTTGTGGTTACGCACCATAAACACTCCCTGTAGCCATTGGGCTTGCTTATTCTATAAATACTCACCTCCGTCTCTACCACCTCCATTCCCATTCGTGAAGAGAAGCCAAAAGGAATTTAGCAATTAGCAAGGCTGGGCAAGGTTACCAATGAGTACATCAGCCCTGCTATGAATGGCTTCTTGAACCATGTTGAACCATGGGCCCGTTGGCACAGAAAGCCTGCAACTGAGGGCTGTATCAAGTTGTCAGTTGACATGGTTTGAGAAGTGAAGGTGTTGGTATGCTTTCTTTAGAAACCAGTTGGTGGGACTTGAAAGGGCGTCAGGAAAAAAGTGGTGTGGCATCTGCTTCAGTTCAGGGACAAGTTGGTTTTCATTCAGTATTTTGTTGGCCATGAAAATCTGAATGATTGCAGTGGAGTAGAAAATGATGTGTGCGCCGGGAACACAGGTGTGAATGGGCTCAGCACTGGCTAGGGAGGGGTCCAGTCCAGGCCCCTGTGTTCTCCCCACTAATAAGGGTCTCACACTGGATAGCTCTGTTCCTATCAGTGAAAGAGAAAGAAGGAATAAGCTTTAATATACTGCTGAGGATAAAGAACTCACTGGAGGCATGGATGAAGGGGTGGGGACTAAAGATATGTTTCCCATGGCTGGCAAAGAGATTCATCTGGTAGGACGCCCATTTTTTAAAACCTGATAATGCCAGAAAAGAAGTGCATCTGTTTAAAAAAAAAACAATGCTTTTCAGCGCAGTGTTTCTTGGTTTAACGTCACACAATGTGAATTGAGAGAGGCAGACATAAACACTTTGGCATTAACGCTGAAATAATACACGTACGATTGTGACATTTTGCTTGCAGGCCGGACTTTTACCCTCCAGTTTATGAAGAGAACTTTGAAGCTGCACAGGGAGAGGCCTTGGATGCTCCCCCACCGCTGTACACAGAGACTGGCCTTGAGCTCAGGAATGAAAACGAAGCCCACCCAGAGGCCCCGCCTTCCTACCAAGAGTCCACGGCAGACTTGGCGACTGGTGCGAAGTCAGAGGTGCTGCAAGGCCAAGCCCAGAGCTGAAGGAAGGGCGAGCTCTCCAGCACGCACGACGCACCTCTGTGGGACTCAGCTGCTCCTAAGAGAGCCGGGCCAGAGCCAGAGCCACCACGGCGTAGGACAGCCACACAGTTCCCCGGAGCAAGGGCGGCCCGGGGTCCCTGGCAGGGCACGGCCAGCACAAGCGGACGTTTCCGACGATTCCCACTAATTCCGAGCCAGGTGAGCCTTGGCACCGCAAAAGCTTGGCTCTCCCGGGGGCTTTCTGTTCCGCTCAGCGCCCCTTCATCAGCTCAGCCCCAAGCAGGAAGGAACACAGAAGCTTGTGGGGATGCTGTGGGCTTCGTGCTGGACCTTACCTGGAAATCACGAATGGAAGGGGCCTGGGAAGGAAAGGTCATTGTCATTTAATTTGTGGCTCAGCATTTTGTAAGCTGGCATCATGATTCCTCTCATCAGCTATGTTACCAGAGTGACTGCAGTAATTCACATCATGAAAGTCAGGCTCCAGGAACCCATGAATGTTAATGTGTACTATTTTATTGTAATTATGTATGTCTTTTTTCTAATATGAAAGGAAAAGTCTGTACTTGCTTTCAAAATGATTCAAACACAAATACTAAGTGAGTTATTTTTAAGATGTCTCCATACAAGCAGATACAAGGTTTCTTATAGATTAAAATGGAACAGACACGTACTTGGTTCATAATACACAGAATTCAGGGGAAGTGGACTTTGCATTAGCCACAGATAATATGAATACACAACATAATATAAAGCATGTGAGGTTTCAAAATATTGATATGTAATGCAAAGAATCTCCCTGTAAATCTCCAGAGTTTGAAAAATGAGAGACTTTAATTTACTAGGAAATTCTTGGTGTCTCAAGACAGAGTTTTTAACTTCTAGGCTGGGAACATACATTTTAATACTGAATGTCAACTTTTAAAAAATCTGGTTCCTCCTCCGTTTCCTTACATTTTATAATATTTTTAACGCAAGAGGACAAGTCAGGTAGCAGGGTGCTTGGATGAGACGCAGCCTGACGCTTTCACATTTGGACAAGGGTATTCATCTCTCGGGCCTCCATTTCCTCTTCTGTCAAGTGAGGCACTTATGCAGAGAGTACTGAGTTCTGGCGAGCCTTCCATAAGACAAAACTCTGTGCTATGAACTCATGCATGCCACTCAGCCCTTATCCCACTTACAAGAGAGAGATGCTAAGATTATTCCCACATTGCAGAGGCACAAAAATGAGGCTTTGGGAAGGTTAGGAAACTTGTCCAGCCATGCATAGGAACTTCCAGGAGAGAGGGTGAGGAAGAGTCCACTCAAGCTTTTGTGCTAAGCTGGCCCTGTCTTACTTCCCACCTTCTAGGAGGCAGTTTGGATTTCTTTCTCCCATTCCAAAAATGGATCTTAGTGGAGCAAGAGGGTTAATGAAACATCTTTAAGACCTTGGAGAGGCAGCAGAGGTAGCTTTAGAGTTAAGGGACTTCTCACTTAAAATGTAAATACAAAGTGGAAAGGATCAAGATGCATTTTATATATATGTACCAGTACCCCAAGATGAATACAAATTTTAATGTAAATACACTTGCTATGCTTTCTGCCAGGGAGCTGGGGTCTCACCTTCCTTCCTCTGGTCATTACTCTGATGACGTGGGATACATTAATGGGTGACAGTCACAGTGACTGGCACAGAGGCTCACGATAATTGGACAGAAGTACATCATCTTTCAAGGAAGAGGGGCATCTAGATGGGACAGGTCTGCATGGCTTCCTCATCCCCACCATTTCTGAGTGCACAGAGTTGAATGTATCCTGACAAATTCCCAGGAAGCCTCATTACAGGAAATTCCTCCATGAAGTATGGATTTGGGTACCTAATTTGAACCCTTGACCACGAAGGCATTGCTAGCTGTGAAGGTCATCTGTGGTTGTTCAATAGGAAGGTAATCATTTATTAGCAATGTAACTATTCCTCTCTTGTCACCTCTTCCTATCCTTCTACCAAGAAAATATCCCTGGGACTCTGAGCATATTTATTGACCTGGCTTTCATCCAGAGTTTATATGTGCAATAGATGGCTTTTCCAACTACTGAGAGTCAAGGGAAACAGATGTTAATTTTGGTTTACATAAGAAATTGTTTTAATTTCTTTATGCTAATACATTTTGTACTCAAACTTTTGTTCTTTGCCTTTTTTTAATATATCAGGAAAAATCACAAGGGGAATATAAGTCAAAATATCGTTCTCCACGTGAAACTAATACAGTAACAAGATGAGTTCATCTTTCTGCAAATCCAAACATTATTCAGTACCAACTGCAGATTCAGAAAGAAACTTGGATGCTTCTTTTTGAAAAGAAATACTAACAGGGACTTATTAATATTTAAAACATATGCACTCTGAATTAAGCATCATGAATATGGGTGACAACACATTGGTTGTCCCCTGGAAGGCTGACTTAGGGAAAGTAGATGCTGTATTTCTCCTGCTTTCTCAGGTCTATGATAAAATGAATGATGGTAGACTAAGATGCATAATTCCATCAAGGCTGGGCACTGTAGGGAAAGGAAAAGAGGAAAGTTTCCTCTAAGAAAATCTCAGCTCATTCGTGCTCTCAAATGTGAATCGCAGGCTCACATGGCAGTGGGGAAATGAAGTTTGCAAAGTCGTTGGTGTTCCAGTATCACAATCTCATGACGTTCCTTTGAGCAGCAAGTTTCAATTACCATCTACCACCCCAGAGATGAGGATGACAAGAGCATTTATGCAATAAACTATGCTGTATTTTTTTTGCATATTTGATATGTGCTGTGTTCGTTTTTTTTACTCCCCCATGCAAAAACTCACAAGTGTTTCTTACTGATATAACTATCCCTCAAGAGTTTACTTAACTGTACTGTCTTTGGTGTATCACGCCAGCTCACTTACTTGCAGGGAAAAAGCTAGGTACTAAACGACATGGAAAGATGATAAAGATGAAGCCTAATATTCCACATCTTTCACTGAATTTTAAAAAGTTCCAGGATAACCTAGGCCAGTGATGGTGAACCTTTTAGAGACCAATGCCTTAAATGCAACCACAAACCCACTTATTTGTTGAAAAGTGCCAACACTGCAATTAAACCTGAATGCTAAAGTTTTAGTTTACAAAAAATGACTCATACATTAACACCTTTTGTCTTCAAAGAAATAGCACATGTGCCATAGGTTTTCTACCACTGACCTAGGCTGTGAGCTGCATGAGCCATTTCTGTGTTAAAGTGGAAGAGGCATTCTGCTAAGCTCTGCTGCCTCAGATAATCTCTTGTTGTTCATAACTGCTGAAGATCTCAACACTGACTTGCTAGTATCTACATCATTTCCCAGGCCATACAGTTTCTCAGACCCTTCTACAGCCAAGAATGGAAATCTCCCCAAGGTACACGTCTGGGATTTCAGTGTTCACCTGAGAGAACTCGGTACGTGATCCAACAATGGACAGAGTCATCCTACTATGTCGTTACCTGTTCCCATGAGGGCCTTTCCATTCCTCACACCTTCCAGAGTAAAAGGAGCTCAGGCCTTAAACTAACCCAGAGGTGGCCAGTTAGAAGTCATCATACCTCTATCCCCGCTATGGCTCAGTGCAGACAATGCTCAGCCCAAGGGGCCAATGTGGGGTTCTGCATCAATCTGAGGATTCCTGTGCAGAAAATATTCTTGTCATGTCCAAGTCTTTTAGCCTGCATCATCATGGAAAACTATTTGTCCCTCAAATATTATGAACGTATAGTGTACCCTGGATCATGAAGATCTAATAAATGATCTCAGTGCAATGACGGCTACCAACTTTTTAAGGACAGAATCCGGGATGAGGCAAAGTGACACCTAGCAAGGTATTTAGCATCCTCCCTCTTGTCCTACAAAACGCCTCCCTGGATCACACATTTCCAAGCACCGCCTGGGTGGGTGGGAGCACTGCCCTGGTTGACAACTACTGGGCCACAGTGCAGCTGCAACTTGTCATTTTCTGGAGGTGTTGCAGTGAGTGAACTCCTTGGTTTAGATCACCAGACTGGCCCTGAGAGTTACCACACTCTGTCTCTTCTGTGGCTGATGCTTGTGATACCCACAAAATTCTCAGACCTCTCAAGTCATTTACTTTTCAAGATCGGAGGTTAAAGGTTGGTCTTTAAGAAACTTCAGAACATTATGTGGAGAAGAACAGCTTCCTGGCTATCACCTCTTTAGGAGAAGATGCAAGAGGACATATACGTAAAGTTGAAAGAAGAAGCTGGGACTCTGTGTAAGGCAAAAATAACACCTTGGCAATGTGAATTTGAGCAGGTACCAGAGAGAGGCTGTGCCCTAGAACCACTGAAGATCTCCTTCCTTCCTTTTCTCTTTTTCTTTTCTTTCTCGCTCTCTCTTCCCTCCCTCCCTCTCTCTCTCTCTCTCTTAGAAAAAGCACCCCAATTCTCACTACCCTGTGTCTGCTTCAACCTTATCTGGATTAGCAGACCTCTCGCTGCATCTAAAATAGGAGTCTCACTGGAATAGTCGCTCAGGAAATGTTTGCTAAAGGAGCGAATGTGTGAACTGGTGAGTGAATTATATTTGAGCTATTGGATGCAAGTGAGTCCACCATGAAATAAAGAAACAGAATGTTTAAGAAAAAAATGTTACATTTGAACTTAAAGGTTAGAGGTGATTAAAAAGTTTGGAAATTTGGAAGTATTTTCTTACCTAGGGCTGATATATCAAAGGGTATGCTGTCATCCAGAACAACACTTCTATGATTAATGGGCAGATGGATGGTCGTCGGGCTTTTATTCAAGAGATAAGAATCAAAGGTATAAGGCAAGTTTTATTTCACTGGTGATACATTTCATAACTGATTCTTTTACGTCTCACATCAGAGTCACTTTCTTATTATTTCAAAATAAAGACTTACAATGAATGTCTAGATGTTTTTGCTTCTGCTGACTCCCACAGGAAATTCTGAGCAATTCACTTTCTCTGTTCCATTTATTTCACCAATTCCCCAGGTTATAATCATGAAAAACAGTCCTTGCAAGTATTCTGAAAACACGCATATCAGGTGGTCACTACAAGAGCTTCTCAAATGGTGAAATGAATGTGTTGAAACCTACAATCCTTGAATCAGGTTAAAATAAGGAATTTCTTTTACATTGGCTGGCAACATCCTAGCAAGTTTTTGACAGAAGCACAGACAGCAAAACAATGAACTTCCTGGACCTGTTTCTTTGCGTGCACTAACCTTGACTACAACCACAATACATTGCTTAACAGTCAAAGTGCACTAGGTCATCTTGGCGAATGACGTGAAAACAGAGTGTGTCGTTGCCAAGGAAGCAAACATACGCAAATAGCTCCCATGCCCCCAGCATTCTGGCTGAGTACAGAGATGCCTGCTAGAGCTGTGTATCTGTTTTTTCCTCAGCAAACAAAGTCCATTGTGACCCCCTGCTTCCTAGCAGGCAACGCAGCCCTCTCCTACGTATCATTAGGCTCATGACAGTCCTGCAGTAATGTTTCCTTCCAACATCCTCTGCATTTCCTACCTTCACAGCATTTCATTCTCTCCTTTTTACGGCCATTACAAGTAAAGACCACAACTGTGTTCAAACAAGTGCATGAAAACCAGCCCTTACTGGGAAAATCAGAGACACAGTGCACACAGTGCCGTTTCTGTCTTCTCAGGAACAACCTACCTGTGATATAATCAAGTTAGGCCCCACATTTTAAGCATTCATTTGCAGAATCTTGTCGAGAAACTCCTCCCCACCTGCAAAAAACTGACTGCATTTGAAGGTCTGCAACCAGCTCGACAGCTAAAATAATATTTACAAAATAAAAGAGAGAAAAACACCCTTTAACGTGTTTCCTTGGAAGTGTGCCACTGTGGGTTGTAGAGCGCTCTAGAAGATGTGGAAGGAGGTGGGACAGGGTGCTGGGAGGCTGGGA